AGAGCAATCACCAAAGGTTACAAAGAGACCGGTAAAAGAAATTTTATACTAATGATTCCTCATCGCTCTTCTCAGCTATATTAAACCTGTGCTTTACTGAACTTGCCCATTCATTTAACCAAACTGCTTTTTACCTGAAAAGAACGTTCCTGGAGCTTCCATAAATTTTAGCCTGGCTGCATCCCTCCCTCATTCCAGATTTCATTACCAAGCTTCACTTATAACAACATCCATACTGAGAAGATGAAATTATTTTCATCATCTTGATACCTAAGGTTTTCAGCTTTTATGTATTCTTCATTATTTGTAGATCTGTAGACTGTTAAAAGCCTCAGTGTAACTCCCAGTACTTTCTCACCTTTCTTTCCCACAGTGAACAGGCACTTATTGACACATTCCTCAAGTTTTGTTTTGTCTTGCCTGTTACTTCTCCAGGGACATTTTATTCTGCACCATGTCATCACTGGCACAATAAAGGTAGGGGAGGAGGGCAGAAGCCAGGCAGGAGATTACCTAACCCTAACCAACTGCTCCTCTCATTGGACAATATTGGCCAGATACTCAAACTGCCCAATCCTATCAATTCTAAACATCAAATTCTGAGCGCTCTTTTTTCCCATTTTGGGTACCTCAAGGCTTTCAAGACTTTGCTTTTAACATTATCATTCTAACATGGTCTGGAACAGTTGGTGTTCTGTTTCCAGGCATCAATCTCGTGACTTTCTATTCTTCTTTTCTCAGCTACAAGGAACATGGCAACACTGGGGGTTATCTGAGCACCTGTGAAACAAACCTGATCTCACAGGATTGATTCCCTTCAGACAGTGTCTTGCATCACTTCTCTAGAACAGCCCTAAACACCTGTAGCACAGCTGCTGCTTTTGATGCTTAGTTTAAGCCATTGGAAGCTACTTTCTGTCATCCTGTTGCCAGGATAAATATTCCATTGATGCAACACTTGAATTCTTTTGATCTGCACTCTTCTGTTTTCCTCACAAGCACTTCAAAACAAGACTTGCAGAACGCTGTACATGCCTTCTTTGCACAAGACAGACAACAAGGTCTTCCTTCAGGTTGTATTTTCCAATGTAATTCAACTCTTACGCTTCTTTCTTACAGATTTAACTAAGGCCTGGCTTCTCTCCCCTTCCCTGGCTAACATTTTCCCTCTTACATTGCTCTTCTGCCCTCCAAACTCTTCAGCAGGCCACCTCTGCCAATTCCTTTGCTTAGCAAGAACTTTCATTTCTTGATTTTAAAACTCCACAGAGATTTTAAACCTTATTCTAGCAATATCAGCTTGCTGAACTTGAACAGAGTACACATGGCCAGGGACTCATTAGAAGGAGAGTGATCGTTCACAAGGGCATGCAGTGACAGGACAAGGGGGAATGGCCTTAAGCTGAATGGGGGGTGGCTTTGGATGAGATACTGGGAAGAAATTCTTCCCAGGGACAGTGATGAGGCCCTGGCACAGGTTGCTCACAGAAGCAGTGGCTACCCCAGCCCTGCAAGTGTCCAAGACCAGGTTGGATGGGGCTTGGAGCAACTTGGGCTAGTGGAAGGTGAAACTGGATCATATGTAAGGTTCCTCCCAACCCAAACAAGGTCACAATTCTATCATTAAATCTGTATTTGCAACAGGCACAAACCACAGGCAAAGGAGAAAGACACTACCTCTGTCTGAGTTTAGAAGACATCAGCTTACACACAACTTCCTCTCATTCCCCCGTTTACTTTGAGCATCCTTACCCTGCCTGAGTTCCACGGTCCTGCGCTGAGCTCATTCTCCTTGGCCCTGGGAACTGGAGGTGCTGGCCATGACTGTGCTGTAAGTGTGGGAATCTCGGGTCCAGACACAGAATTTTCATCAAACACAGCAAAACTTGGAGCATTTGGAACTTGCAGAGGAGCCCGAGGCTGGCAGCTTCTGTTTGGGTTCATGGCTACAAGCAAGAAGATTTATATCAATTACCTTCAACAGTCACATTCAATTGCAAATCTCATGTTAAAGAGATGAAACTCCTCCAATAGCAAGTTGTTTTAGCTCTTGAATGTACCTTTAACTGCATCTCCCACACGACTAATGGGGGCTCTCACTTTCTTCTTCCCTCTGCCTTTGAGATCTGCCAGTGAGCTTCTCTGAGGCTCTGCAATTTCCAGCAATCCCATATTGTCCCCATCAGGACTTTCCTCAAGTGCCAGTAGTGTCTGCCGAGAAACACGGGCCTGAAACTGCCTAGAACAAAAACATTGGAGAAGTCAGGATAACCTTCCCTATCCCAGCAATTCAGATAAACACCTAAGTTCTTCCCTTACTTGTGATGAGCCTGCAGTTTGTCCAAAGGCTCAGCCTTGCGCTGGAGCCCTTCCTGGAATATGAGATCTGCTTTCCTGAAGCTGCCCCTGGCCTCGAGCGCCTCTGCCCAGGTGATGTAGAGCGGGGCCAGTGTGGTGCCGATCTCCTGGCTGTGCAGGTAACTGTACAGATCCAAGGGCTCATTGCAGCAATCACCCTGAAACAACCCAAGTATGTCTGTAATGACACGGAACTGCAGAGGGACCCAGTCAAAATCTGCATTTCAAGGCCTCCAGCAAGACCCCAGTGACTTCAATACTAATCTGACAGGAGCAGCTGTAAGGCCAGTACACAGAATTTTATCATTTCTTGTTTGAATGTTAGGTAATTCAATGATTGAATTACACCATATTAGTATTCATGAGAATGAACAGTTATTTTAGCTTCAGATGAAGTATAGCACATTCCTTGCCAGTTTTGGAGCTGGTAAATTAGCTCAGTAAGCTAGAGCTGCTTTGAAAAGAAGTAGACAACAAAAATTATAGCAATAGAGAGACTGGACCATAACACGCTTAGCTAGGTTTAAAAGGATGTGGCTAGAGACTAAAATATCTGGTAGAACAAATATATTTTAGTTGTATCTTTAAACCACTTCTCTTTCTCCATAAATAAATATTTGAACTCTATTTATTCAAGGCAGCTTTTCCAAAACAAAAATATCTGGAGTTTGTAGCTGTCCAAAGTGAACAACCCTAAAAAATAGTCTGGAAATGAGATGCAGAATTCAAGAGTAACATGTTTGCAGAAAAATATATCTAATATAGCATCTTGTTGTACAAGACTCTCGTCACCAGAATCAGCTTAGCTGTGTGCAGACATTATGACAAGGTCCCAAGGAAAAGCAGCACCCAAGAGATGTTCCCAAAACACTCACAAACTTGAGCCAGAGATTAAGATAGCGAGGATCTTTGTAGTATTGCTGCTGCCCATGGAGGGCTCTCACTGCCCTTTCCAGAACTGCTGCAAGGTTGCCATCCTTGCCACCCCCAGGGAAGGCCTGCTCTGTCCACTTGATGTACCTAGAGACAGAATGTGTTCATAGCAAGTCAGTTCTTAATAAGCACCTATAAAATATAAAGACATTAAGAAAAAAATAGGCATAACACTGAAACATAATCTAATATTTAAAAACAATTATAGAACTTAGCTTTCAATGAGTTACTTATTAAATTAGAATGTGTTTCCCTTGCTTTTACAAGGATATCTGACTGTTCAACTCTTTTCTGAAAGAAAAGGAAACTTACCGTTCCCACACATCCAGAGGATCATCTCCAGAGTAAAATCGTATTTCTGCTTCAAACTCCCTAAAACATAACATTATTCATCCAATAAATACATTTGTATCACTGTATATTTATCTTGCATATTACAAATTAGGAGTTAATTATTTATTAAAAAGCACAGCTAAATCTCCCTAGTATTTGCTGTTTAAATGCTCCATTGCAAACCTAAAAAGTTGAAGTCTCTACTACACAGTACCTGCGTACTGTGAGTAGTTCTAAAATTCTAGAATGTGGTAATAGCAGACATCAGTTATCAAACTTATTTTATACCTTTTTTTAATTCCTATGAGACTAATGCAGTTAAAGAACACATAGATAAAATGAGAAGGGAGGATGATAAGGGAAAAGGAGCTGTTACAACATCACTTACTGTTTTTTAAGCTGCACAGCAGTGTGGCTGGAGGAGTCCTGTTGAGCCAGTGCCTCTTGCAAGCTGGACATCACCCGCCCCTGCCTGAGGGGCTGCACATTCTCCTTGCTCAGCTCCCACTCGTGGCTGTCCTCCTGGGACATGACCACCTCTCCTTTAATCCTGCATTCACAAGAAACCGACACCTGTAAGGCTGGGTACTGACCTGAAACCTGACAGAGACGGCTTTCCTCAGCCCCTTCACCCCGAATTTCCTGTGCAGCCAAAACACACCGCTTAGATACCAAACTTTTAGAGGGACTTCAGCGTTTAATTCCCCATTATAGGAAATACATGAAAAAAGAGCCAATCTTGACAATGAAGAAACGCACGCAGGCAATCGCAGCAAAAGTCACTAAGATTAACCCGTCTCCCTCCCCAGTGATAGCTCCATTCCCTGCCCCGAGACCCCCCAACCTCCTCACGGGGGCTGCAGATGGCTGCGCTCCGGCCACGGGGAGCCTCAGCCAGCCTTAGTCAGGATCCTCTGATCCTTCACCAGTCAGGCGAGGGGTTGCAGCAGGAGGGGGACACAGCCGAGCCTCGACCCCTGCCCGGCAGGGACCCCCGCTGGCACAGAGGGGAGGCGAGGCTGTTGGTTTCCCGGGACGCACCGCCCCACGCCGGGACCGGGCACCCCGCGCTGTCCGGGCAGCCCCAGCGCCGTGCCAGGCGGAAAAAATACGGCTCAGAACGCCACAGCCACCCGCGCTATGTACCTCATCCCCTAAAGCCCCTCAAGGATCCCACACAGCCCCTCAGAGCTCCAGAAACACCCACAGCCCCACACACCTCACAAACTACAGNCACTCCCTTCGGAATTAGTTCCCTCCCATCAGGTAACCACCATTTTCCCTGTTTCATGACTCCCCCTATCTTCTTGAATTCTTCAATCTCCCTCTCTGAAGGGAGCACGGGGATTTCAGGCGATTCCTCCGGAGTTACCTCGGGAATACTTACGGTGAGCAGAGCTGCTCGTTTTGCCTCTTTATCGGCTAGGTTGTTACCTCGGGTTTGAAACTGCAACCCCGTCTGGTGTCCTTTTACATGGACAACTGATATTTCTTCCGGCTCTCGGACAGCCTCTAGAATCTGTCGGATTATTTCCCCATGGATTAGGTCTTTTCCCTTAGTATTTATCAATCCTCTTTCTTCCCAAATCTTCCCAAAAGTATGTACCACACTGAAGGCATACCGTGAGACTGTGTAGTCTGCGCGTTCCCGGAACCTCTCCCTTTGGGTGAACCAAGACCCTTTCCCAAGATTTCCCCCCAAAAACCACTCTTACCCAATTTTGGGTTAACAGGAGTTGGGAATGACTCTTATGCGTTCCCCACTGGAACTTTCCCTTTAGAACTACGAGGTGAGCTGTGCTTCTTTCTCAAAAAGTCCCCCTCCCCTCCTGACAACTTTCCATTCGGGGTTTTTTGACAGGATTTTTTTGGGAATTTTCCACACGCTTCCCGCATGGCCGACCATTTTCCTCGCAGGAAGACAGAGCTGCAGCCTTGGTGTCCACACTCACTTCATGATAAAATCACGTCTCAATCACGCTCAATTGCCCTGCTCAACCAGGCAATACTTACGGTGCCTTTTTCTTGCGTGGGTTCTTTGTGCACTCAGATTTTAAGAGCAAATTTTTGCCACGGTTTGGAAGATGTCCTTTTGGTCTTCTAGAGTTCTCGGAGAGCTCCTGAGCTAGCTCGTGACCTCTCTGGACTGTGGTTGTTCGCTGGCTGAACTTGGAGGAATCAGGGCAATAGAGATTGATTCAGAGTTCACCCAGTGCCGATCCCAGGCTCGACGCTTCAACCTTAACTGTGATGTGGTTGTTTCCATAACTAAAATTAACAAATTGTTCAATAAAATTATTATTGATAAATTTGGTTGCATTTCATTTATAACAATTACCCAATACCTCCCTGGTCATTGACAAAAAAATCTATAAATACTGGAGTCAGGAAAATAAAAGCTCTTTTTTTTCTATGACACCACTGAGACCTGTTTGTATGAATCGGTCCACGTCCTCTAGCGACACACTGCTACTCTCCAAGGGGCTCCATCTCTGCACTTTCCAAGATTCATGTATACTCCTGCACACACTGGTGTCTCCTAAGCCAGAGGTGCACTCCTGGATTCTGGACTATCTTCTTCCTTCAGTTCACTCTGAGAGAAAGCAGGAGCTGGGACCCTCTGAGCCACCACCCCGTGGAAGGGTGTTGAGGCCAGGTGGGCAGCCCTGTTAAAGTCACACATGTCCTCTGGGTTGGCACAAAGGGTCTTGTTCTTGTAGGAGCCTGTCACAATTGCATCCTCAGCCAAACGTTCAATTCCATTCAGCTCATTCTGAAAAAAACCCAAAAAACATAGTGAAAGCCTGCAGATTTTATGACAAATTTTTCTTCAGTTAAAAGCTGAATATTTCCCTTCCCTCTCTTCCACTTCACCTCCATCCAACATGAACAGGACATTCAGTCTTCATGAACTCTATTTATCATAGAATCCCAGAACAGTCTGGGATGGAAGGGACCTCAAAGACCATCACCCTCCACCCCCTCACCATGGGCAAGGACACCTTCCACATGTTGCTCCAAGCCCCATCCAGCCTGGCCTGGAACACTTCCTGGGACAAGGCAGCCACAGCCACAAGATGATATTTCCAGTATAATCTCATCATCACCCCTGTTCCATTACTGCCATGCCAGGCAGCACTTTGGAAGCCTTGCTTTTACACGTGATGCCACTCCAGCCAAGCTGACTCAGTGTGACAGCAGCACAGGCTGCCCTGGTGCCTCCTGGGCAGGAAATCTGCCATGGGCTGAACTGTTTCCTTACACAGGCTGCTGCTGCTGCTGCTGCTGCGCTTTCCTTGGCACTCAGAGAATCCACAGGCTTAAGAACAGCGAGAGGGGGACGGGCACTTTTCCGGCTACGATCTGCTGAACAACTAAGAAGAAGTTACAGTCAGTTACATTTTTATTGGAGCAGCTTCCTAACTCAAATAAATTCTTCCCAAGAGTTTAAGTCTATGGATCATCTCAGTCAACCAGTTTCTACTACAGAACTAACAGGAAGCCACAGATACAGCTCTCCAGAATGAGGGAAGGTTATATTTAAGCAGTTTAAATACTTCTAGGCTGAAGATGAAGAACAGAAGAGCATTTCCTCATCATGGCCTATGAGTAATTAAATAAAAAATACCAATATAAACAAAACAAAACACAACACACACACCCACACATCCCTGCAAGAAACAGTTATTTCAGCTGCTACAGCAGGGGCTTTGGTGCTTCCGTTTTCCTTCCCTCTGAAATCATCTAGGCCTTGAATAATTCTACCTTATGTTCTGATTTGTCAAAGTAGAGGATTCATCAAATATAGAGAAAAATGGAGCAGCAGCTGGTGGGGGAAGCAGACCTGCATCTGTAAAGAAAAACCAAGAGGTTCTCTCATATCCACAGTTCTTCCAAAACAGCCTATACAGCATTACTTAAAATAGTTAACACCCAGTCTTAAAAGTCCTGTTCCTAGCAGGTGGCCAGCAAGCCAGGAGGAAATGGATTCAAAGACAGAAAAAAATGAAAAAACTACTTTTAAGATTTCAACTACATAACCTAAACCTACATAAGAAGACTCTGCCTAAGTTGCTCAGAGCTAACTTAGCCTGGTGTTCAGTTCTACCCACACCTTCCCTCTCCCTGCTCTGCAAAGCTGCTGCCTTTGGAGTAACAAATCTTCATTCAAGACATACCAAGAGATTTACCAGTGTGGCATCAGTGACTTTCAGGAGAAAGAAACAATCTTACAGTTTAAACAGGAATGCAGTTTCTACACATTCATCAACTAAACAATGGCACAGCCAAGGTCAGAGCCATTCTGCAGCCCAAGTGCAATCCCTGCTGCACACCACCCCTCAGCATTCCTTGATTCCATGCAATTCAACCTGTGGGAACTGTCTGCAATTCCCAACAGCCTCTTCCACTCCTCTCTCACAAGGAGCCTGTCTATTCCCTGGCCATCTTTAGCCACAGAAAGGCAGAGCAACCTTGCAAAAGAATGTGTTTTCCTCTGCTCTAACTAAACCACCCCATCTCCTGGGATTTATCAGCATTTCAGGGAGCACTGTACAAGCAGCACACTCACTCCTCCATGACCTAAGCAACACTGTTGGCATGGCAACTCTGATAGCTTATTTCAGAATAAAACTCCAGATATGCTGAGCACAGAGTTCTCAAGACAGAAAAAATCAGCCACAAGTCTGCCTCAATTTGGAGCTGCTTCACAGCAAACAGCACCCTAAGACAGGTAGCTTGTGGTTTTGTGTAAACACACTGAGTTAAGCCATTAAACTCATTAGCATATATAAATGTAATATAGGCTTCCACATCATGAGCAGCATTGAACACTTCCCACGTCCTTGTGTCGCAGTAGAGAGGGACACAACATTCCAAGGTTCAAGAGGCAATAGCTCTCTTTATTGTTCACAGCTCGTGTTTATATGATTTTCAAAAGCAGCACGTTCAATCCCAGTTGGCTGGTAACTTGTTGCCCCCCAGTTCACTGGGCAATAGCTGCCTTCGCACTTGCTCACCAAAGATTTGGCCAGCATCCATTCCTTGCAGTTAAGTCCTTCTGCTTTTCAGGGCTTTCTTCCTGAAAGGTGTTCACTTCCTTTCCTCACTGGTACAGGCTGATCAAGACAAGGTCAGGGTTACTTGTGTCTGTGAAGCCTTCAGGCCAGCTCTTAGCCGTCATAATTCCCCCTTTTTGTTTTTCACTACAGAGGCAGTCTTTATCAGCCTCTGCAGAGCCCTTTGCAGACAGGATAACAAATATGGCACAATGAGCAAAATAAATATGATAATACAAAAAACGATTAACCCAGTTTGAATGAAGCTCTTCACCCAGCTTGATAAACCTAACCCTTCCAGCCAGTGATCTATCCCAGAAAATCCTCCATATAACACATGCCATCAAACTCTTCACAACCATGTCCATGAGCTAACAAAAAAAATCAAGAGCATGCTGCATGCTATCTACATCCATTGCCAAAGCACTCAAAATTAAGGAAGAGGTTTCATTTACTCTTTTTGCTACAAAGCAAGCCAATCTATTTATCTGAGAAAATATCAGTGGTAACTTCCTGTTCCAATTTGGTCCCACATATCATTTCCCAGTGTATAATTAAAAAATACACATCCTTCTGCTAATAATGTCCCTAAAACATCTAACTCTTTGGGTTCAAGTGAAGAAGCAGGTAAATTGTCATCTCAAAGATCCCACAGTTCCATACAGCAGGCTGTGGTATTACAATTGCTCTGGGAAGAGCGTGGCATTTTCACATTTTGTGTTACTTGTACATTTTGTGTGCCATTCAAGTGTCCTCCCATTAAGCAGGTGTGAAAAGGTTGTTCTGGTTGTGCCATGGATGCACAAAATCGCATCTGATTCAATGCATGGACCCCCAAACATGGTTAGAGCTCCTCAGCATCAGCTGAGGGGCTGTCAGGGAGGCCCTGCTGGTGGTGATCCAGAGCAGAGCGCAGAGCAGGGCACACACACACAGACAGGTGTCCATCAAATTTCAGCATCTGTAGAAACACAAGCATACCTGTGCCCACAAAGGACAAGGTCCCAAGGACCTTCCCACTTGTTGGTAATGAGGTCCCATACCCATGCCTTAGCCTTGGGTGACTGGACATCACTAGAGGACTGCAACAACAACAAAAATATTTAAAATAATAGGATTTTGGGATTCTGGAAATATAAGGTGATGCAGTGTATACAGAGCTTTGGCCATCCTACTTTGTGGAGTTTCACCAGACATTCTCCCTTTTTGCTTTTTGAGGATGCGCTTCAAAGTGCCGTGGGCATGCTCAACAATGGCTTGGCCTGTAGGGGAATGAGGAATGCCAGTGATAGGCGACACACCCCATAATTGCAAGAATTGATGAGTTTTGTGTGAGACATAAGTGGGGTCATTATCAGTTTTAATGGTGTGGCAAATGCCTAGGAGAGCAAGGGCTAACTGCCAGTGTGTGATAGCATCATGCCTTTTATCTCCTGCACAAACTGAGGCCCATATAGCAGATGAAAAGGTGCCTACTGAAACATGTACATACTTTAGACGACCAAATTCAGAAATGTGTGTAACATTTGTCTGCCAAACTTGTAATGCTCACAGACCACGGGGGTTAACACCCATCTGCAGTGGTGCAGTGTGGCCTTGACAGTCAGCACAGGTATTAACAACACTTTTGTGTTGGTTGTTGTTGTTGTTGTTGATTTTGTAAGGCCTGAACACCTTGGTGAAAAAGGCACATGATGCTCTTCCTTGTGCCAGCACGTCTGGCTGTGGCGCTGTCCAGGCAGGGCTGGTTAACCAGTCAGCTCAGGCATTACCTTCTGCTATAAAGCCAGGCAAATTTGTATTGACTCTGAACATGCAACACATAACAGAGACAAGTTCTGGCTTGGATTACATGCCACAAAGTTTTTAACAATTCAAATAGTGCAGTATTATCAATTTCTTTTAATAATGTCCGGTCCAATCGTTGTGTGATGTCTGAAACATAAGCAGAATCAGTTATAATATTTAAAGGAACATGAGGGGAAATGTTCAAAAGCCATGGCTACAGCATGTAATTCAACTAGCTGAGGTGATCTGCTATCCAGATCCTCTAGTGCTTGTCATTCATTCTCATCTTTCCAGGTTACCATGGCTTTTCCTGTTTTCCCAGACTCATCAGTAAAAACAATGAGACCTTTCAAGGCTGTGTCATTATTTAGCAGTTTCAAAGACAACACAGTGGTCCCACTCAGTTGCAACAGTTTGTGACTGGGCAGATGATAAGTAATTTGCCCCTTAAAGTTTTGTAAGGCACTTTGTAGTGCTGTGCTATTTGCAAAGCACCATTCTAAGTGTTCTTGTGGTACTGGAATGATAATCTTAGAGCAATCCCTAGCATTCAGCTGTGAACTTCTCTGAAGGTATTTAATAATTAACTGCACAATCAATTCAAAAATAGTGGGTGCTGCCTTTTTAGGTTGGTGGGGCAAAAAGACCCGTTCTAAAATGTGTAGTGGGTCAGACCACTGAGCGTCCACTTGACCAATAATACCTGTAGCATGTAAATCAGCAATTACAATGAATATTGTAATAGAAACCTCAGGGCATAATTGATAAAATTGCCTGTTTGTTATGGCCCTCTCTACTGCTTCAAGTGCAGCTTTTGCTTCTGGAGCCAATTTCCTTGGTGCAGTGGGTCTAGTGCTGGCCAAATGCCAGTGCATCCACCAGAATTATTTACTCATTTTCTGTTGCGAGATAAGGATTAGGAGGAGGGCAAAAGAGGTTTTAACTAAAAGCCAAGCTGTGTTAAACTACAGCATTTGGAGAAGTTAACTCAGGGTCAGCTTTAAGAATATTAAACAAGGGTGATAATTGTGGGGTAGTTAACCCTAAATAGGGTCATACCCAGTTGATGATACCAAAAAATTTTTGTGCATAATTTAATGTTTGGATCTTGGTTGAAAATTGAATTGTTTGTGGCTGTATTGTTTGCTCTAATATTTTAACTCCTAAGAATTGCCATGGGGATTGTTGTTGCACCTTTTCAGGTGCAAGTTGCAACCCGAACTCTTGCAGGGCTTGCATCAATTTTGTCCAAACGTGTAGAAGGCCTTCCTTGGTTGAAGTTGCTATTAAAATGTCATTCATGTAATGATAACAATAAGCTCCTGGGAATTGTTCTCTTACTGCTGATAGCGCCTGAACAACATACCATAGGCAAATTATTGGATTATTTTTCATGTCCTGTGTCTGCACTTTCTATTGATATTGTTTAACTGGTGGTGCATGATTGACAGAGGACACTGTAAATGCAAACTTTGGGGTATCATCAGGATGTAAAGGAATGGGAAAGAAACAGTCTTTTAAATTGACAATCAGATTGTCCCAAGTAGTAGGTATCACGATAGGGGATGGCATTCTGGGCTGTAAAGCACCCATACTTTCCCTAACTGTATTAATTTTTCTTAAGTCATGGGGTAACTTCCATCTACCTGATTTCTTTTTAATCACAAACACAGGGGTGTTCCATGGACTTGCTGATGGTTCAGTATGTCCTTGATTTAATTGTTCTTGAACCAACAACTAAAGGGTGTCTAGTTTTTTCTTTTTCAAGGGGCCACTGATCAACCCACACAGGTCATTATGTGAGTCATTTTATAACTAATGTAGGATGCTTTACACCCTTCAGCACAGTGGCTCCTATTAAAAACCCATTCCCAGCCAAACCCCCCACACTGACAAGACATCCCCTCCCCATAGCTTGAGTGGCACAACAGTAACATAGGGATGGCTCGTGGCTGTCTGTTCTTCTGGATTTTAACACAGGCTTATTACTCAAGTAATTTTGTGTGGTACCTCCAAGGTCAGCAACAACAGATCCTACAGCCATGCTGGACCATGACTGAGGCCACGTGTTAG